AACAGTTTTTTTCATTTTAAACTTGGGTATTGCACACAAGCGGCCATCTTCTACCTAAAAAATACAGTAAGTAATTGAAGAAGGTTTAAAGGAGTACAACTTCGTTGATTACCGGAATTAAAAAGCTACCATATGACAAGAAACTGCCAAGCTAAACCTATCCCTCTTGTTATATAGAAGGACTAGAGGTTAATTAATCGTAGTTCTCAGATCACTTCCCAAAATGAAAATACAACTGAGTGAAAAGAAGGAAATATAAAATAAACATCAACCCTTTTGAATGTTCTGGTTTTCTTTCCTTGTTTAGGAAAAACAATTACTAGTGTTCAGACTATTTTATTTTCATTACTTCTGTTATATTTCTATTTATCAGGCTCAATCTTTTATTTTATTAATGGGTAGTTTGCTTTCTTTCATGAGCATGTTGCGAAACTTGTCTATCTTTGAATTTTAGTATACCGTTAAATTACATCAAATATTATTATTGTTTCATTATACATATGAAACATGAACAAAATAAGAAAACAACAAGGGAACAGATAATATGTATATATGTTGCAATATAATAAAATGTTTGATGATTAAATAAACATGTGAGCACATGTATTAGTGAAAGGGAGTTCTATAGTATAGAAAGAAAAGAATCAGGTAATACATATATTTTGATAAGCTCAGAAAAAATCAGCTAGCCAGAGAAGAGGAGAGAATAAATCTAAAACTATCCATTAGAGACAAGGAGTATGAAAGAATGTTAGAGAGAGAGAAAAAACTTCAGAGCAGACAGAATAAAACAAATTTAATGAACAAATCTAATGAACTGATGATAGAGGTAGAAATAAATAGTTCAGTTAAATTTACCATACTCTGTTAGTAACTATAGCGTCAGTAAAATATCTAGTATTCTGTAATTTGGATAGTTAAAAGACAAATATGTCAAAGAATATATCAAAGGATATCTACCATTGATATGAATCCTTATCATAAATGGACAACAGAAATCTAAGCCTGATATGATCACATACTCTTCAATATAATATTGTAAATTATAATGATGACCAATATGTAGGTATGATTAGTCTTTAAGAATTTTTCTTCAAACATGTTATTTTATCGTTCTAAAAATGATCTATTAAATTTATAGCAAAGTTACAAACAAACATTTTAACAAAGAATACTACTGAATATTGGGGATAGACAATTACAAAGAATAAAATTACATCGTGTAATATATTATATTAAACATTAAAATACTTTATTCTATAATTCATCAGTTTTATGTTAACTCGATATTATATCAAAATATAAAAGGATGAATTTTCTATATAGACAATATCAAACATTTCACTTTTAGTAAGAAATGTTTAAGTACAATTGAGTTATATAGGATAAAATAATAAGAATTCTTTTTAACCTAGTGACTGTAATATCACTTACTTACTTATGAACTCTAATGAGAAAAGAATTTTATGCTGTACTTTTGCTTTTCATTAAATAACTTTGTTGTCAACCAAAAAAAAATTAATATAATTTCTTTACATTTTTATTGATTGGAAGTGTATAAATTAATTAGTTACTGAAATGATTAAAATCTCGCCAGTTTTTGATGGGACCTGACAAAAAGTGGTACATAAAAGCTTCATTGAAACATATGATTACTGTGTATTACTTAGTCATGTATTCATAAGTCAAGTTATTGATTAAAATTCAATTAACATATATTTTAATCACTTTGTATGCAGCATTTGTACATGTGATTTGGAATATCATGAAAACGAGTTTTTCATGGTTTAACACAAATATTATTAAAAGTGGTTTTTGCGGATATTATAGCAAATTCAATAGTTGAGATCATGAGTCAATTGAAGCTAGACTACGATGGAAAACCTGGAAGCACTGAATGGCCGTTTCGTTCTATTGTGGAACTCCTCAAATATTACTGATCGATTTTAAAGAAGCAATTGATATCAGTACAGTATTGTCTGGATCTTTACTAAACACATCTTAAACTAATACAGCTCTATTCTATACACTTGTGTCAGTCACTGGAAAACATCAGATACATATTCATCATCATTTTCTAACCTACTGTATGAGAAGTTTATCTTCTGTAATTTTCGCGAAAGTGTAACAAGAATTAAGTTAGGGGATAAAAACAAAATAATATCGTTTGTATAATTGCTAAAAAGCTTGATGAAAACAAGATTACAGGAATAATTAAAACGACTTGATTGCTAAAATATTTACACTTGTTTGGGATTTGGAGTGGAAGAAAACTCAGATAATTAACGATATCATATGTTGAAAGTGAGATAGAGAAGTGAGAAATAAGTAAGAATAAACAATGATTTTCATACGAAACATGCTAGTTATAAGTTGGTCAGAGGTGGACTACCATATTACAACTCCTTGTCTCAAAAGTATAGTGTTTACTTCCAAATCTGAAGGGTATGGATTGAATAATGTACGTAATTATTGACAATGATTTTTGAAGAGTACTAAACCACCGCAAAAGTTTTATCTAATGCTCATGGATGTCCAGCTTTCAATTAGGTAGTGTCGGCCCATAAGGATAACGATTTCCACATCTGATTCCATCATATACCTAATCCAATTTAGTAGATTATTTTTATAGAAACGTAAGTAACTAACACTACTGTTTAATGTCTTTACATTAGGCCATTACTCGTATTCTTGAACTGAATTATCAGCTAAGATCTCCTTGAGTACCTATCGGTCACATACTTACCTATGGCTAGTACTATGTACTATTTAGACATGAAAAACTTATGAAAATTAAAACATCTTATCTAAATAATCCATTTTATTCATCAGAATAATCTCAGGCTCTCCAACTAATTGCCATTCGTAAGTCTAGTATACTTCCAGCAAAAGGTATTGAATTGGACTTTCGATTATGTTCAGGGTATTTCAGTAATGCTAACAAACTAAGATTATTGTCTGTCGCTGCAAAAAGAACTACGATTTTGAATTATATGGGATGTTGTATGACTTGAGTATCATTCTCAAACAAAAAATTTTGTCATAGAAGAAACTAATAAATCATAACTAAGAGACAGGATTCTACGTAGATATTATAGCCTTCTTACAATGACTAATTAAGCTGTCAGAACACAAGTCAGGAAACAAATTTCAAACTGTCATTAACATGGATTACGTATCATTTAAAACAACTGATTTCTTGTATTTTTCAGTGTCCACTGAAGAATTCGAAAACTATTTGAAAAATCATAACCATATAATGATACTGACTAAAATTGTTTTATACGGTGAACATTGTCTACAAATAGTTTGTCTTTTTCAATACTCATTTTGTCTACTCACAAGTAGTGAAGACTTGATTGCATATATAATCCTCAAAATCTTAATAGTGAGAAATCAATTAAATCAGGAAGCCTTTGTTCGAATTGAATTTAAATTTGTTTCATGATCAGTATTTAAGAAAACCGTTGACTTTTAAGATCTCAAATATTCATTAATTTGAAACATACTGTTTTAATTTTACTGTTACTATAGTATCGAGAATGATAGAAAAAATCTACAGTATCAAAACATATTTCGTCATTCGACTTAATATGATTCTGACGCTGTAAATGACTTTTCAAAAAGTAGAAAAAGAGTTCCTCGACAAACTTCAAAATTTAAGTAAGAAAAATAACTATTGCTTCGATATAACATTTTTACCACAGACTGACAAATTAAATGAGGTACATAATTCACTTAGCTATATAATCGTGGATGCGCACTGCTGAGGAGTCCCATACTAGGACGAAACGGCCGTCCAGTGCTTCCAGGTTTTCCATGGTGGTCTAGCTTCGATCGGCTCATGATTTCAACCTGTGAAATTTCTAAAAAACTCCCCACAAAACCCATTCTGATAATAATATTCAGTTCGATGTTGGGACACTGGTGACCAGAATTGTAATGATCTCGTCAGAGTACTGAAGGAAATTGATGACCTATGGGACTACTAAAACTGAAAGTGAACACATTCACGAGTACCACTAAAGAGGGAAAATGTGAATCATTCAGAGGTGTAACAATATGATGTTCAAACGCGAAACTAGGTGTATGTTCGACTTTATTGTACACTACTGAGAGGTCGAAGACGAAGTAAATAACTATCTACGGCTCACTGGTTTTCAATTATTTTCCAACTAATATAATTTCATGGTGAAACCTATCTACAAATCGAACAAATTGGTCTAAACTATGTAACTAATTTCTAGAATTTTTGCAGTATTTAGTTGAATCCCGTTTTGATTTCCCAATTTCATACATTATTTTAACTCCATTTTCTTCTTGTTTTATTTAAAATAGGTAGATTTTCCATCCACTATTGTAGTAGAAAATACCATTCTGATAGAATTCTTGTTTTCGGTGCCATGATACGTTTAAATATTACTTCGCAAAACATATTTCTAGATGCATTATATATATACATCATTTCTCCCTCAGTGCTACTTGTAGATACTAATATTAAATACCGTTTGATGTAGACAACAATATTCTGCGTTTCGCCATATAAAGATTGGTTCGGTCTAACATGTCACACAATCACATATTTCTAACCTAATGGTTAGAGGTTTTGACAACTCATAACGGTTCAGCCCCAAGGGTAGGTATGTACACAGGCTTTCAATAATCTTGTAAAATCAATTTATAATCGCATGGTCCAAAGCACATTTCATGGTTACAGATACAATTTATGTGGCTTATGGAAAATTATGGAACCGAAAAATATTTTTTGCCTGAGATAGTCTTACATAAATAAAAAGCATTTAAGGTGGAATAGACTCCAGAATGTGATAAATGGCAAAGTTAAGGGGGTATGACCAAAATTGTCAATTTTATACTTATCATTTACAGCAACTTAGAAAAAAGTAAATGGATTTCTATACTCTACCTGATTTATCCCTAAGACAAAGTCACAACAAAAATTTAATGTAGAAATGAGTCTAAGTAGCTTCGCAATATATTAATTATTCTTGATTTACAAATTTCTCTAAATTTTCAATGTCCTTTCTAATTGTGTCATCATCTGGTTGAAGTTTTTGTGCAGCTCTGTATTCGATAAGCCCTGCGTAAAGAAAACAAAAGAAAAATGTTTTAGACGATTACCAGACGTTAGATTTATCTAGCTATATATTTATATTTATTAACAAACATGTACTCGTAAAAATTCATGATATCTGACTCCCTTACAGTATCCTGGATGAAATTTAAAAATGTATATTTTTAAACAACTAAATAATAACATCGCTTCAAAAACACAATACATGAGTATGCACGTTTACAGCCACGACTATACTTTGTAAAAGATTGTAAATAATTAACTAGACAATTATATACTGACTATGTGAATGGATAGGATGGTTTGATAGTTTTGTGAAGATATCTCACCACCATAACAAGGCAGTTGTTATCAGACTTTCCAGACTTAACCTATATGTACGGAATAAAAGCATGATAATTCTATCTTTGTTATGGCAAATATAATTGTAATCGGGTAATTTTCACCTCATACATAATATTAATGATGCTCATAAATTGATTTGAACTCGATGCAAATTATTTATCATTTTCTTCATTATGATTACTAGTGTCGATGATCTCACTTCCGCTACTCTGAACGACCATAATTTCCAAATATAAAAATCCATCAGTCTTAACTGTTTAATAAAATGTGTCTTATTCTCCTTTTCATGGTTTCGATCCTGTTTCGAACATTCAACTCCAATACACTCACATAAATATATCAAATGTTTCTAACTATATCACTCTATGTAATTTTAGGCTGTTTAGAGCCGATAAAAAGCCTTGAAACAGAATGACTCCATTTTATTTTGGGGATCTTGTTGTTTTTGCTGTGTTCAAATTTACCAGGCAAACTAAATTTATAAAACTAATATTTTAAAGTGTCATCACCATAACACTTCACTTTGAAATATTGTCTTTTTCAAAAAAATTAACTAAAAGGAGTTTGAAAGCATAAGATAGTAGTTCAGGTCAAGAGTTTGGATCACTGAAATTCAGCTTCAATTTTAGGAGACTGGAAATTGTTGTATTTTCTGTCACTCGTATATTTATATATTAAGGGTAAAATCATTGATACTACTATCATCCAAGTTTAAAACAATGTATACTCTAAACTACAACATATAATAAGTAACATAGTCTTATGCTGTATAACGTGTGTGACTAATGACGTTATTATTTCAGACTGTATGCTAAGGTAAATGCTTCTCCTTATTATCCTTAATCGTGCTACGGGTTTTATCTACAAGATACAATACGTGCAACCTATATACACTTAATCTTGAGAAATGTGTTAGTTAGTACACTCAATAAGTAAATCATATTGACAGATAAACGTAACAGTAAAAATGATATAGTAAGTATAGTAGGTCGTGAATTTTCCTAGTAATTCAACATTTAATATAGTTATCAACCTACCCACCTTCTTTGTATAATTGTAGATTACAAAATGCTGCTCCACGCCTAATATGTGCACGCACACGTGATTTTAAATTTTGCGCTACAGGCGGTACACAAAGATCTAGTACCATCGAACTATCTTCCAGAGCCTTAAAATAATTCCGCAATTGTAAGTGACATGCAGCTCTATTTGAATAAGCCCTTTAATTGGATTTTCGAAATTTGGATTAAGGAATAGAAACAGATATTTTTTTCAGCAAAATATTTCAATATACAGTTAAGCAAACTTTTCCATGGATTATTGTTACTTCATCCACAATAACTAGATTATAATTATGTTTTTTTGAAAAACTGTTCTACTTGGTTAAAGTGAAATTTATTCACACGAGAATAAACGCATATGATGAGAAATAAATTTTCCATTCACCTTCTGGTTATTATTAAGGATAACTAAAATCAGAGAACATGCTTTTTCGTATATTAATAGAATAAAATAGTTTGCACGATAACCTTCACAGAACACAAAATAGTAAGATGAAAAAGTACCGATTATTATGGAAAATGTTTTTAGGTATGTTACTTTCAAATAATAATTAGGACACCGAGTAATATAGGTCCTGGTCTAATGGATCGACTTCGCTATCGAAAGATAGATGTAACTAACAAGTACCAGTTAGCATGAAACCTAGTTCTAAGGTTTCCTTCCAATCATCTCCAACCACTCAACAGCAGAAAATGCTATATGGAATATTGAGCAACTTAGACTAGTGGCCAAAGTACAATTTGATTTAGAGAAGTCTAACAACACCAAGTAACAGATATTAATTAATCTCTTATGATTAATCAGTCTATAATTGGTAGTGTATTTTAATGTTGCTGAAACAAATTAACAATTTAGCTTTTTTTTCAGGAATAACTTTTCAGTTTCTATCATTTATTAGCTTCTGATGAATAAAATATTTATAGACCAATACAAATCAACATCCAAATTTGATTGGTTTAACACAGTATAGTTTTGGTTGTTAAAAAGCTATATATTAATTTGGTGATTTTGATTATTACCCTGAAGAAGTCCATGACAAGTTGGCTGGACGAAACGTTGAAATTATTTAAATTTCAATTGCTTAGATTTGTAGTGTCAGTTATTATGGCAAGCCCATATACCTTATTCTAACTTCCGGACATCCTATTTTATTCATTTTACTTGAGCCATATTTTGACCTTGTCAACTATTCGCTTGTCAATCTTGACTGTTTTTATATGAGCGTATATGTGTGTGCCCTTCTCTTATTCCATTAATCACATGTCTGTAGCTTTATTTTGTCTGACTATAAATATTGAGTAACACTTGGTTAAAATGGAGTTGGCTTCCCAGCCATCTTCCCTGCGTGTCGTTTTGCTTTGCTATGTTTCATTCGTTTCATGTACGAAATATATGTATTCAATGGCCATTCTCGTTAATTGACTTATTTAATTCGGTTATTGGCTAACGCGATTTAAGTCGACGATGATAAACGAGAATCAGCGATAACAAACATCTATACGATCTTGGAGTCAGATCAAACGGCCACAGATTATTTCAAATATAATTTTCATATATAATGACTTCTCTATACTTGGCGCCCAATTTCTGTCAAACGATTCGTTCAAATCTTGACGAATATTCGTATAAACAATATGAATGCAGTTAAATTAAAATTATAGATGAATTTTGATAATGAGAAATTCGTTTGAAGAGGAGATAACTTGATTGACAATGAAAATTGTTATAGAGAGTAATGGTTTAATTAATTAGAAAGCGAACGACATATGAAATTGATTTTCTTTTGTCAATCTTGTATAACATGTATTCATATCTTAAGAAGCATTATAAATGCTTCATTATATAATACAGTAAATGTATTCACACAGTATGTTAATGAACTATTATTATTATTATTATTATTATTATTATTATTATTATTATTATTATTATTATTATTATTATTATTAAATACATTTCATTTCAATGTATACAAACCTGTAAATTAATCTAACTAAACAAACTATATAAAATGTAATATATTCTAAGATTATTTCGATTTATTTCGGCAGTCAAATAAATTCTTATCAATAGTTTTCGCGCCTTTTCTCTTATGTTCAAGTTGCCATATAGATTCAACCTGGGGTTATTAGAAGCGGCTAGGAAATCAGATCGAGAGTTCATTTAGTAAGACTTGTTATATATCATGTTATTTATCTTATGTTTGAGTTATGAAAAACAAAAACAAGGTGGATTCTAATTTGTTATGTGAATTAATTTTACCTAATTCAGCGTATCATCATCAAGATCACTATTTTGTTTATTCACTACTGAAAGAGATTTTTCTCAAAATAAAAGGGTTATGTAGATTAATTTCAATTGATTGATCACTGGATGGTGATCAATGTCATGTGTATCAAGTCCTTCTTAATGCAAATCGAATAATATCGACCACGCTGCAATGTGGCCACTAGTCTAGGTGACTCAACATTGATTGCACTATGTTAAGATTAGATGGTGGTTGGAGGAAGTAAATCTTTTATCATAAAATGACAATTCATTTAAAGAATCACTTCAAAATGAGGGTGTATTTGTGATATAAACTGATTATCTGGTAGAATTTTATGAAATTTAAAATGAATACTGAATAGAAATAAGTTTCTTCCAATTATTCAATAGTTTAACATAAAGGATACGAATGTAATTTAGGATTTTGTGTTATAGCTTCTGTATAAGCAATGACAGCAGCTTCATAATCTCCAGCTTGAAATAATGAACTTTCGAAAAAAAGAGACAAATAATAATAAAATGTTAAACATTGCATATTAATATTTCTCTCTGAGTTAGATAATGAATGAATTTATTTTTAATATAAGAATGTATAACACTTACATTTAATAAACTTAAAAGAAAATATTCTATCATATGATATCTTATGATATACTTCCTTTGCATTTTCATAAAACATAACAACGTCTGATCGGCTTTTCTTCATAGAAGCTGTGCTTTTAGACTTTTATCTGACTCAAGCAAATGACTGTAAACAACTGAACTATATTCCTAGAAGTGATAAAAAGCATATACCTTGATTATAGTAGTGCATAAACACTCACTCGTTCCTGTTTATAATAATAACCTTTTAACCATTTTAATTCTGTTTGTATGTCGTTGTGAAGTGTAATAGTTTAGGCTGATGCAATGCAATTTTACGTCACATGTTTTATAAAAACAATTTCGAATGACGTAAACAGTTTATTAGTTACAATCATAACTGCATTCGAAGAAATGATACAACGTAGTTAGTAATAATGATATTCTTTCAGAGTGAGAGACAAACAAGAAGAGTGAATGAAAAACTGGACTTTCATAATCGGCTCATTCAACTCATTTAGATGATACAGTCTCCAGATATCAAGTATAAGTTAAGATCAGTATATCTAAAAAACCAAGCAACAGATGATCTATCAGCACGTAATAATATCTTATTATTATTTAATACGGGTTGAATTGAAGACTGTAGGTAAGTTCAGATTTTTTGCGGCAGTGCTACATTTTGCAGCATCGGTCCAACATACCACACCTCATTAGCACAACAAGATAAACACCAAGTTCATAGAAGTTGTTACTTCAATGGTAGTAACATATAAAAGAAAGATTATGTTGTCTTTTTCCAAGATCGTCTCACTTACACCCAACATCTTAATTCCAGTTTCTTTTATTAGTCTGTGGAGCTGTCTTGTGTTACTTATAGCCGCCGCCTTTTCCATCACTTTTGCCTTCGTTGCCCACCACTGCTCACGGTCGTTCCTTAGACCTTGGTTAACCTAGATCTGATTTGTTTACGCTGTTCATCGTGTTCAGAGCCTGATAAGATGAGTTTGCGAGAATCTATCAGTGTAACAGACTTAGTAGTGATCCACCGGTTTTTCGTGACCCTTTGGTTCAAATCACAAATAGATGTCGCTGCATTAAAGAATGGCCTTTGAGATGGTGGAGAAGATTTGTAGCTCAGGTGGATGATTTTGGTGGAGTTTTGTTCTCTGAACTTCACGACCAAACCGTCCAGCTCAGAGAGCAAAACTCCACCAAAAAGAATGGCCTATAGGTTCTACTCGTCAATGCAATATTTACCTGTTCTTTCTAAGTACGGTAATACAGAGTTATATCTACATTCAAATACATGGGAATACAAAATTACAGAAAATCTTAGTAAAACCTGAGATCCATACAGTAAATACTCAATTTGCAAAATGTCAAGCAATTGTCTTAAACCTGACTGTTCCTTCCACAAATGTATTTCAATAGTCTCAGACTTCATTGTTCCTTTGATTCAACACCAATCATTTTTTTGTTTTCGTTCTCTTTTCTTTGATCTTTTTAACATTCTGCCTCCAGGTATTTCGCTTTCAACTGATGATACATGCTACTTATATCTGTCAAAATCAGTAGCACTCACCACAATACTAAAAGTTTTTGAAGATTTATCACTGGTTATTTGTCAATGGTATTTAACTTTTGTTTGGTTTATTTAGTGCAGTGAAGATATGGGTAGTTCAACTACATGCACACAACAATCTCTTTATGTTCATCTAGTTAACAAGCTCAAATGTAATTTCTTGCAAACCTGTAATTTACTCAGTATGCAGATGACAAAGGATTCCATCTACGTATTTCCCACAAACTATTAAAATTTTTAATCAGTCAGCCAGTTATAATCAACTTAAAACCAGGTACATATGTGCACTGATTCAAGTTCCCACACCGTGTCAGCACATCGAAACAGAATTACCAAGCCTGATATCAGAGTGGTAGAAGGAGCAACCGTATCAGTAGTAGTAGAAAGCACTAGGTATAAACAAAATGGTTTAAGAGAAGAGAATGAGTATGCGGAATAAAAATGCCATGAGATAATTCTAAAACTCAAGATCTGAGTGAAGACAAGGAGTGAATGAATTTTCACCTTTGCGACCAATTTTATGCTATGTCACTCAGTGTCTTTAACCAATAGGTACGATAACCACGCGAACCTCAACCTGGTAACTCACACCTTCTAACTTGACTCAGTTATTCAGTCAATGACTGACGCCACTAATTTTATTGAACAAGAATTGGCAATATCTTAACTGACATATAAATTTGTCTACAGCAGGAGGTTGACCGCTCGACCATACATAGTAAAAACACCAAACTTACTCTCCCTTTTTGCGTAACCATATAGGATCTAGTTCATTCCTGGACAAATCATCAGGTACAACACGGTCCAATAGTTTTCTTCTATATTCGGCTTGTTTAGTTAGCCACTAAATGAAAGGGGGAGAGGATATAAATACAGTAACACATGCATCTCAATGATTACTCCAAATATATTGTTTTCTCTTCTTGCCCTTTATGTCTTTTTTGTCATTTTGAACTAAGCTTAATTTACAACAATTTGTAAAATTTTGTTTATAATATTTTTAATGTAGCTTCACGCCGTTTGAAGCGGTTGAGAAGCCTTGGAATACAATAAATTCATGTAGTCCTGAAAATCCTATTCTTCTCACTTTAATCAAACTTATCAAGGGATCAGGATGTATGAAATAACATTGTGAGACTACAAAATCACTTAATTTCAACACTCTCGTTCCCGTATTAAAGTTTTACATCAGTATAACATGTGTCATAAAATAACTAACTGAAACGTTAGGAGCTGTCCATTTTTTCTGAACGCAGGCACAATATAAATAAGTAAATATAAAAGTACGGTGAGTTTTGCTTCACATCGGGCAGGTGAGTATGTTGACGTTATTCATGAGAAGTTATAACAGGAGAGTACAATAATACTATAGTTTAAACTATAAAAAATAGTTTAATAGCTAGAAGTTAGTTTGTATTATGAGATCAAATGTAATTTTCCGTTAAAATTACCTCATCCTCAGCTTGTTTTGTAGACTCTCGTTCAGGTGTAGGAAATACTCTAGGTGTAAATTTAACTTCGATTGTAGATGAAGTCCTCACTGGCAAATCTATTGGTTTCTCAACAAATGCCAAACGTTGTTGGATATTCTTATTTAATTCCACTAATATGAGTAATTCTGTTGAAAAAGAGGAAAATATTTATCGACATACTGTTGTTTTCTTCGTTAATGGTTTCTCTTATATATTGTTTAGCAAATCTTCGGGCTTCTGTAATTTCATTTTGCAGCTTTGTATTTTTAAAGAAAAATAAAACTAAATTAACGTTTGTTCACTTATTTGCACTAATTTAAAGAAGAGGTTTACTCCATAAACCATATTATACATCAAATTGATAATAATAATAGTAATAATAATAAATCGATCATAGTAAAACTTTAACAAACCGGAGGATTTAAGAATTTGCTGCGTTCCTAAAATAGTTCAAATTATCAGTTTACTGAGTGATTGATTGTAAGTCTTGTAAAACTTAGTTCAATAGTATGTTACTTCTGAGACGTCATGGCAAGAAAACCTACTTTAATAGAGTATCCTTTGGATCTATCGATTTTATGGACAAATTTTCAATTAAGGACTTTCATAAGTCCTAATAAACACGAATATTACAATTCAAATGCATCAAAAAGTAGTCTAATTTCGTCATTTTACGAATGAATACAAAATTCTGTATGTGTGATCGTTGAGTTTTTGCGTATTTTACTAATTATTCAAAAGCCGCTGACTTAGGTAGGGCGTAAAATACCAGAATCATACCACTGCATTATTATTTGGTTATGACATAGTATAAATTTTGGTTTATCTCCGTGATCTTTACTGTCTGTTGCATATTACGAAGACTTGAAACTTATACCACATCTATATATCTTGAAATGGTTATGGTTAACATATCTTTTGATAGAAAACAACTTTACAAAAGAAAGATATTGGATAAAATCTAATATTTATTTTTATTCAAACATCGCCAAAGTATATAAAATCAGTTGTTTACTTAAGATCAGAAAGTACTTACGATGATTTATCCTAGAAACCAAACTAAGTGAGTAGTCAATAGAATTTTTTCCCGAACGATATAGCGTGATCCGTCTCTCAAACAGTTTAATAATAGTTGAGGAGTCAGTCGAAACGAGTTCCTATCCTTAATGGTAGAAATTACCGTGGAACATCATTTGAATATCAAAGTACCAAAAGTGGCTAGTCCCGTACACAGAGAAATAAATCATGTCTATGGTGGCGAAATGAATGATAAAGTGGAAGGACAAATCAGTGGACTCTATGAATGTAGATCTCAGATACCTATCCCATAATTCCGATTAGTAGGGATATATTTGGGATATAGACTTCTAAGTACTTGGTTTATTCCTATTCTCAGTCCCAGCAGTTTCGGTGGTTAATTAATTTTAAAAGACTAAGTGGGAGAAAACTCAGTTTAGTCATTTAGAGAGAGGAATTTTCTCTCCTTGAAATTTTTAGTGATGGTTTTTGATGCTGGGACGAATTAGGAGCACCTACTGTTGAATGATCGGAAAAAATATTCATCGTTTACTCCTAAATGTACCATTATCAGAAGTAATAGTAGGATGACAAAGGACTTTGAGGTAGACAAAACATGACAAGGTAACACTACAATAAATCATTATATATGGTTCAGAGATAAATTTTTAAATTTACTGTTAATTTATCACAATATTGGTGTCAATCAACGTCTACAGTTTACCATCTCTGAACAATAAAAGTTTATTCAAGGTTATTCATGTGCTTTTATTCCTTATCTTTGCATCCTTTTTTAAGTTACATTTATTGTTCCTCCAACACTCGATGGTAATAATTCTGGCAAATCAAACTGGAGCATTATTTTGGCAGATTCTACACTCTTTCAGTCAGTTTAAATAATATCCTTTGATAATTCCAGCAACGTTTCGGCCTATGTTAGTATAATGCAGAAATTGACTTCACGTTATATTCTTGGATACTTACCTCATTTTCTTTTTGGCTAGATTGGTTAAAGGCATTTACAAACTCGCTTATTGCTTGCTTGCTAGCGTGCTCTTTTTCAAGTCTAATTTTTTCACGAAACATATTCTCTAACTAATAAACAACGACAATTTATTTAAAGATAAATACAGGAAGTTACTTCCATAACCTGTTCCAATGCGTATTTTTCACCCCTTACATTCATGTCTTTGTTTGCTTTAGCGCGTTTCATTTCGCGTTCTTGATGTTCAAGTATGGCATTTTGTTTAATCTGTAACAAACGTCTTCTGTCCTCTGAAGTGTTAATTGATCTATAAATATTAAGCATCTTAATTCTTAATTAGTAAAAAGTATAGTAACAAAATAAAATATATCTACAAAATTACTCATGTCATCCAATGTCAATTGATGCCATAGTTCAGCACTAGATTTCTTGAGGTTAAACTCAGCCGCACCATCTGTTAGTTTCAAAGTACTTTCTTCAACATTGATCGGTTTGTACAACGCACATTCAAAAATGTACGGTTTGATAACAACCTATGGAAACCATAAGATTCAAAATAGAAATATAATATTTCCCTGTCTATAACCTGTGGTTATAAATTTAAATATTCAGTGGTAACTTTTAATCTAATGTGTTAAGAGTATATATAGGTAAATTTGTTCATATATCTTGAAAACGCAAGTACATTTACATGTGCTAGACGCTGCAAGTGTCTGTGATAACAGTCAGAAACTTCTTCTACAATTTACCAAAGTTTGTTCACATGTAACCAAAACAAGATACTGAAAAAAGTCAGTAAATTTATAAATCGAGACAGGTTCTTCCTACTAGATTTTATGCACTTCAGTAGCATCAAACAAACAAAATAAATCAAAAAAGCTTAAATTTATGTGGTTATTGAATCATGAATAAAACATATATACATATGGTTAGAATAAGGATGACAATATTTTCATATGGAGCCAGGAAAAAACTAAATAAATTAAAAGTTTTTCACAAAATGACATACGTAGAGTAATTACATCAGCTTTCGATAAAGATGATTTGGTAAGATGTAACCTTAGAATTATGGACTAAATAAACTAATAAACTGTTAATATTTTAGATTAGAAATTAAAAGGCACTAATGTCCCTGATACCTGATTCACAGTATGTGTTGTGTTACATTTATTGGATCGTTTGTTTTGAGTAACTTTCTACATTTATAATATTGATGAGCCAGAAAGTTGTCAGCGGGATAAAGGGAATCTTTTTAAGGTTTTATGCTTACTAATCAAACCTGAAAGTTTTAGAAAATATGCTCGTGGTCAAAATTCAGACTAAACTGGTTAATTTTGTTTTGTTCTAGCGACTAGATGAAACGATTTATATCATATATATCTGTTGCAAATTCGTTCTACAATAATTTTTAAAATAACTTGAAAGTAGTAACAAGTATGCATTCTTAAGGCTAATAAACTTAGCAGGATAAAACAACTGAAGCTATGTGGTTATATATTATCACAAAGTGAGATCTCCCTTGGCTAAATCTACGCTCTGCTTATTCTCTGAGTCTGGATAGGTATTGTTAAAAGATCGATATTCGGTGATGTTTAAGTTATTCTAGGTTTTTTATTCAGTGGTCAAAAACGTAATCGCTGAAAATTTGATTTGTTGAAAAGTTTTCCACTAGTTGTACTGTTTTGCTCCTAGAACCTATAACGACTTTAAACATACTTTCTACGTTTTCTATCAGCTTTTTTGGATTTTACAACATGAATTTATATTTTTGGCTTCTTGAGGAATGTTTTTATTTGTGTATGTAACTAGGGTGTTTAGTCTATGTGATTGTTAAAACTGAGTATGTGAGCAACCTACTCACCTCTTTTTTATCTGAAGATAGGGTACAGTGATAAGTGATATCTAAGGTTAAAATCACCCTAACACCTACTGGCTATGACTAGATGAGTACTAGCTGCACAGAAGCAGTAGAGTAGGCCAGAATCTTAATTGCTTCTGTAGATTTCTCTGCTCCTCTAAGTTGTTTTTGCTTCATGAGACTATGAGATGATGTTCGATGATTAATAAACCTCCTGTGAATGTTTAGAGTAATAAAGATCCTGTTCATGGTGCAAAAGTTGTGGATCTACAATGAGCTCAACAAAAGACGCTTATATACCCATTGAATGATTTGAGCATTTAAATAAGTCAACTTGGAGAGGAATACGAGCCACACTTGGATAAAGATTACTCCAGACTTAAACGAGTTAAAGATCCTCATATAGCATCATTTGATTAAACGTGCAGTTAGTTCAAAAATCAACCGGTAAATCGCCAAAACCCTCAAAGCAAACGCAATCAGTACCATGTACTAATACAACTAAAGTGAAATTGAAACAAGAGTGTACTGATAACTGGCCTTCTCTTCCACAATTAAAGACTGCAATTTCTAATAAGTTGAGGATTATGGAACTTTCACGACACAAAAAATCGGGGTTTATAGTCGATTTTGTTAAAATTGATTGAAACTAAAATAATTAAGACTTTACTCATTCAATCTTTAGCTTAGGTCGGTTTGCTATTTTAAGTTTAAATGAATACGTTATATAATTTCATTGCTAACTTTTAAGGTATTTTGTTAATGCTAACGAAATTTATTCACTTGATGTAGCTCAATAAACTCAGCCCTGAGAAATACAAACTATATCAGGACTATATGTACAACCAAGTAATGAAAACAGGAGTGTTAGAGCCTCTGATCTAGTAAGACTGATCAACTTTAATCTTTCCAGATAGTAAGAGGACCATAGTTAACTTTTTTAACCTATGGTCATACAAAAGCTCTGAGATTAAATGTATTAGCCACCTCTTGATCTCAGTTAGCTATGCTATTGTCATCCAAATTTATAACTAACCCACTTTTTTGCCAGGGGCTAGCTTGGATTTTCTGCAAAACCAGTGTGCATAACATCATAAATGTCTCCGTTTTTAGTTGATTAAATGTTCTATCTATTACCTGAACCATACAGCATTTTTAATGACCCGTTGATCTGACTCCGCTTAGTTCGTTTAATGATGTAAACGAAATATACATGCCGGCTACTATCATATGTAATTATGGACTTATTTAAAATTAAATAATAACAGAACAAGTCAAATGAGATAATGAATTCTGGATACGTATATTTCATTCACTCGTTACGCAGACAGACAATAAGATGTACGAATCGGAGAAACAGACTGGAGTAGATAACTATACTAAATCGCCATAATATTCATTACAAGCGTTAATATGGCTCAAAATAGATAGCAGTGTAACAAAGAGACAGAAATTGGATAACGGACAAACAAGTACACACAAGGCGCGTGAGTGTATAGATACAAGGATTCAAATACATAACGTGTAAGAATTCTTATGGTCACAACTTCCTATAGAATCGAAAGGGTTATTGTGAAAACAAAATGATGAGTCACGTGTGAATATTGGTACTAGACACCACACATTTAACATTTATACCTTTAGTTCGTGTGAGAGACAAAGACACTTTCCAAATATACTGAGACAGCTTAATTGGAAGCCGATTTATAGTGATGAAAAGAAGGTACTACTATCACTATTTTATTATTTAAGCGTTAAATGGCAAATAGTTTGAAGTGAATGACACTCAGTGCAACTTACTTTAACATATTGACTTGTAATAAGTGTGTCTACATTTGATGCACTTATACCATGTAGTGGTACAATTAAGTCTATGTCTGAAAGATTTTCACACCAACGAAAATCTGTAATGTTGATCAGCATTTTTGAACTTCGTGAAATATGATACTATGGTGATTTTATCCAATTTTCAATGACTATCCAATACCCAATGTCTTTGTCACGAACTCGTATAGACAGAATCATTTTTTTGTCTTCACTTCTCATTGTTTTGTAATACTCAGTTGATGACAGTCTGACCACCTGACTGCATGAGTTGTACTTGTTGTATAGATGCATAGTGCGTGATAATTTGAATGTTAAGAGAATATGATTGTTTAAAGGATAGAAAAGTAGTTTACCTAATTAATAAACTGTAAGAAGACGGAATCAGAGGAGTGAGAGTGTGACGGAGATTATAATGAGTGACATGGGAAATACTCATGGTGACATGACAGTTTATGAGACATGAACCAGACACAGTTGGCTCAAGTGGGATATGGTAATCCATGGGTGGGTACGTGTTCGTCAATTCTCGTCATGAAGCTATCCACTGTATGGATAGTGGTCACTTTGTTTGGGTGAACATTTCAACTGGGGGCCACTCTTAATGAGAAAAAGTGAAAGTTTACCTATGTGTTCGCTCTTTGATGTGCCATCTTTCGATAGATGCCTCGAGGAGCGTCGTAATGATGTTCTAGTTACATGCTCGTTTTGTGGCGGCGTGACGTGTTTAATAAGCTATATGCAATTATCAGATCACCTCATATTCACCTGAAGCTCAATGAGAATAACCCAGGTGTTTAAGTCTCTCTTCGTCAGATTTATGTTTTAGCCATATCATCCACTTGAACGACCGTCTCTGTACTTGGTCTGAGATTTATAACTCTTTTGAAAAGGGAGACGCAACTACATTATGAACTTTAAGGTGAGTTCATGCATATGTTTTGACGAAATAACTTGAATAAGTTGATTATTGAGTCCAGCTAATCAAATTTTAACATACAACTCTGAATATTTGACAACGTCCGATACTACAAGTACAAAAACCTTGATATAATGCGTCTGGTGGTGGTTAGGTAGTGACCTGCGGAAAATTGTGACAGCCTAACATAATCATTGGGTGTAACCAAATCACGACCAACGAATGGCCTATAATTTTGTATCCGACCTGCTCTCACATTTAAGGCTTTATTTACTTCTTAAACTGGCCTACAAAATTAACGTGTTCAGTTAGCTTTGATCTATCCCTAACTTTTAAGTTTAGTAATGTTTCAGAGATATGTTTTCTACGTATACATGCATATATCAAAGTGAGTTTCTCAAAAGCCTACATAATAATATGTCTTATTGGATATTTTGCAGCTAAAATCATATGAAAACGTTTTAGGTTTAATGGTTTTTCACAGATTTTCGTTATATACAGTACACTATCTATTATTTGGATCCCATTCAAGTATGACGTTAGCGAAGCTTGTGACCTGTAAATTAGTACTGTTTTATGACATTTTTTTAAGTAGTTTTACCAAGTCAGAACAGGATAGTTATTTTTCAGCAGCATGCTCCGTCATCAAATTAGATGGCATAAAAGGAAGTGTAAATTACGCATTTTTGCCGAAAGATTGCCTTTAAGACTAACTTGTTGCCCAGACATTTATGCAAAGTAATAAGTATTTGTGGCTAAAATGTATTCCTTACATCATACCATTAGCTTCAACACGCAACCTCTAAAAGTAATCTTTACCACCAGAGGTTTCTATTTTCTTCACTTTATAGGTTAAGTTTGCTTTAGGGGGTTTGACTTGATTTTGCGATTTCATTTGCATGATAAGGATAAACATTAAGCATTGTTCCACTAGCGTGACTCAAATGACGACTATTTCTTGTTACAGCCAGTCCTACTTGGAGGATTTGAAGATAGTAATTGCTATATAGTGCTGATTAACTTTGTTTGTGACGTGCAGTTTAATTTGTGAGAATAGACGTTGTTAGGAGCTACCAATTCAAACCTTATTTTTTCTAGATGGCTTGGGAAGACCTGATGACCCGATGAATCACCTAGTTGGTTGTCTATGATAGATTGTTGGAATCTGACTATCTATTTCGGTCCGTACCTGACTACGCAGTGAGTTTTGGCTGAATTTGAAGGTAATTCTGGAGAGCCAGAACTAAACAATGCCAGTATGTGATTATCTTCTAAATGAATAACCTGAATATAAACGAGGAAGAGTCTGCTGATGGATAAGAGAAAATGTTATTTGGTTATATGCACAGAAACATCCAAACAGGCACCCTAGGGAAGCAGGAGCCCTCTATGTCAAATCCAAGTGCAATCCGGTGATAATGTTTGACTAACAGACTTTAGCTATTTTGAGTTTAGTAAAATAAACATGGTCGGTAACATTCATGAATATTTATAAAAAATCACATCGAATAACTATTTATCACTAGGGCCCGTTCTCCCATGGTGGAGTGGTAAGTGCGCTTATTCGTGACTAGCTGAAAATTAAAAAATAACTACCATACAGTTTGTTAACACTCACAATGACTTACTACGAAAGTGAAATCTCGTCATTCTTCCCTAATCTAAAGGATCGTATGACGAATAGTGAATATATTCAAAATGAGATACATAGTTTCTTCGTCTTGTCCGTCATCTACCTAGTCTTGCAAAGTCGGCCTCGAAGGTTAAAAAAATGAGTGTCATTAGGGCTTACAATAACACTGATGCAAAAATGGTAATAAATGTATGCTTGAAAAGAATAATATACATTACCAATGAAAAATATATCATACGAAAAATCACTTTTCGGTTTTGTCAAATAACTATATAATAATAACAATACGTTATTCTCAAATGGCATTTGTTACATGGGGCACGCCAATTTAAAGGCAAGATCAAATTGTTACAAGAGACAAAATTTTAATTGTAGTAAGTTACTCAGCTGGGCTGATATTATATAAGAAGTGTGCATTCGAGCTACCTGATTACATTACTAATTGCAATTTAAAAATATTCGTATACATATTGTTAATTTTAATAGTAATTTCCGGTATTTTAATTTTAAATGTTTGTTTAGCCAACAACTGCCTGATAGTTTAGTTATTGTACTAGTGCAGTATGACAGTACCTTAATCTGCAACTTTGTTATTTAGACTGCGTTCATCTTTTTAAGTTACTAATATGATAGATCAATTCATAATCTCAAATACGTATAGCAATAACGACTATGATGGGTTTACTGAAAAATGTTAAAGGCGATTCAGATGATTTTTAAATCTCAATGACATAGAGGTATAATGCAGCGCATGTACGGGCCAGGTTAACATGCAGGTTGGTGTTGCATATGACAATTTAAGAAATAATAAACATGGCCAGAAAAATAATTTCAAAGTTAAGACGCCTTGTGGAACTTCAAGTAGGAATATGACGAGTTATAAACTTTCCATTAGAAGCTCCTGCATTTAGCCTAGTGGCATTTACAACTATTTGGCAAAAGCAACTGCAACCAAGAAATGTCTTTAGACAACACACTTTTTCTTAAGAGTATGTTGTAGTATAAAGCTACTAAATATTCCTCATACCGAAAACGTTTTGGGAGCGGTTTGTAAGAAACTTATATGACGAGTCTCTGGAAATATACACATGTTAAATACAAAAAACAACAAATCATCCAGCAAAATAGTTAGATGCACCTGGGTTATTTTTGATTATTAGATTCAATAGACGACATATATAAGGCCATTCGTGAGGAGTGGTAATGATCCAAAATAATAATTTATTCTCAAATATAAGTTTGCTGCATGAGGCATGCCAGTTTACAGGCAAGACCAAATTGTTACAAAAGATACAATTTTCGCTGTAGTAATTACTCAGCTGGGTTGATATTTTATAAGATATGAATGTAGATGGTTTTAGTAAGAATCGTATTGTCAGTATCACGGTTGGCGCGCCTTATGAAAGTTGCGTCGCGGCGTGCAACGGATGGTCGAGGATAGATCCATGTGAAGTTGGGGGCTCCTAGAAACCGCAACCTTATATCCCTGTGGAAAATCTGAGGCTTTGATGATGGTGCAGGACGGAGTCGCTGGTTCCATATCTGTTTTCAGTGGCACATCTCAAGGGGGCTGAAAAAGAGCGTAAGAAAAAGAAAGGACGAGAAGCAGAGCAGACAATGTTCATGAAGGAGTAGTTAAGGTTCGACTACTCAGTTTAATTCTCTTTTATTAAGGTACTTATTAAGCAAGAGCATTCTAATATGTTAAAGAAACTAAGTGTAAATAAGGTATGAGTGGATAAAAAAACTGTACAAATGAGGGTGGTTCAGACCGGAGCTCAAAGTATGGGATTATGTGTAGTTACAAAATATAGTGCTGAAAACAGTACTCTGATACACAAATGAGCCCATCGACAAACCAGTCGATATTGATTTTGTTCTTACTCATATAATAAAACCTGAAAGTCAAAGAAACTTGACACTCTAGCTCCAACTGGTCTTCTTTTTTTCATCTGCTATTCACCGATATACCTTGGCAGGTATCCAATAGTAAACTACTTATTATGGTGATCAAACATACTCAATGTGACCATTGATAAAAATCTACTTTTACCCCATAGGTTCAAAGGTGTAGATAGCCCTTGATCACGTCTATCCTCAATTAAATATGTTACAAGCGAAACTTCAATCATTACTGTGTGGCATGCAGAAACGGGCTGATTGGTTGACATTGACGCTTCAATCTGAGGAACATAGTTTAAATTTAAAGGCGCATTTATTTCCATGGTGTTCATTTTTATGCCATAGATAATTCCATATATACTTACTGACCATCCACCACGAGCAGTTAAGGGGGACAGGAAACCTTTTGGGTGCAGATAAAAAGTCTGGAACCCATTCGTATTTACGGGCTTTAACAATTTCATATCCACTGATGGTAACACCATGGACGTATTTACAGCTTGATAAGTAAATATACGCTATTCTAAGGGAAGCATCCAGTCCATCATTCCCTGAATAGCCTCAAATGGTTTTTCCCCTGCGTGGAAAGGTAAGTACCGCAAAGTACTTAAGTCCAACAACTTCTGCACAGAGATGATCCACTGG